TAGATGAAGTCCCTAAATTTTTTTGCCAAAAAAACTCGTAAATCCACTGAATTGCTGTACTTTTTTGCAAACGTAAACCACACTAAATTGTCATCGACCCCCTTCGTCCCGTGCGCACTGCGGTTTGGTGAGACGGTCGAGTCGGATCGATGGTCTAACCCTCTTCCTAATCCGATCATCAATGCTTCTTCCCCACGTTAATTCGAACCGGAAGCCAGTTCAGCCGGGTATCGGATCACGAGCCTATATATGGCGTGTACGTACATGACATAGCTTGCAATTAGCAAGCGTCGCCATGGGAATCCAGGCTCTGCTAGTCTAGGGCATAGAGGTACAGCGACGTAACTACTCTCCATCGATCGTGTAGTAAACTCGACCATGGCTCAGGTTGACGGCGGCAACGGCAGCCACGCCATCGACATGGACGTCGGCGGAGGCGCCAAACACACGGGGCCTCTCGCCGACCATCAGCTCGCCTCTTCAAGCAATCCGAGCCACGTCATCGACATCGACGTCCGCGGAGCCAAACACGTCGGCGACAAGCTCGCCACCCCGGCCGATCACCGCCACGCCGTCGACGTCGGCGCGGCGCCCTCCGAGCCATCCGAGTGCGGGGTGTGCATGGAGCCGCTCGAGTGGGTGGCGCTCGGGCCGTGCGGCCACCGCGAGGTCTGCTCGGACTGCGCGGTCCGCATGCGCGTCGGCTCCAAGTCCCAGCACGCCAGCCGCCGGTGCTGCATCTGCAGGGAGCCCTGCCCCACCGTGCTCGTCACCAGGCCCGGCGGTGGTGGGCCGCGGGCGTGCCCCAAGCTGCAGCCGCTGGGCGCGTTCCAGGGACCGGTGGGCGGCTACTGGTACCACAGCGGCTCGGCGGCGTACTTCGACGACGAGCAGCAGTTCCTGGCGGCCAGGAGGGCGTACCCGAAAGTGGAGGACGGCGCGCGCGACGAGGGCGACGGCTTCGTGCCGGCGTGCCCGTGGCTCTGCTCGCCGCTGGCGACCGGCCTGTTTTACGTGGCTCTCTTTTCGTGGGTTGGCTTTACGGTCGGCGTCAACGCCGGCGTCATACCATACTGGGGCGCTCATTGACAAGGGTCTGGCTTTAAATTGCTGGATTGAGATTATGTGAAGTCTGAATTCTGATCGGCTATGTTTGACATGGGTGTCGTATTTCGATTTGTTTGCAGAGTATTTTTTTTTTTGCGGAAAAACTTCCAATCTATTCATCTTCAATCATGGCAGTACAACGAATACCAGAAATAAAAATTACATCCAGATTCGTAGACCACCTAGCGACGACCACAAGCACAGAAGCGAGCCGAAGGCGCGCCGCCGTCATCGCCCCTCCATCGCCGGAGCCGGGCACAACTTTTTGTAGTAGACAGTCGGGAAGTCGTCGTGCTAAGGCCCCATAGGACCAGCACCTCAAAACAGCAACCGCCGCCGATGAAAAATAACGTAGATCGGAAGGATCCAAACCGAAGACACACGAACGTAGACGAACAACGACGAGATCCGAGCAAATCCACCAAAGATAGATCTGCCGGAGACACACCTCCACACGCCCACCAACGATGCTAGACGCACCGCCGGAACGGGGGCTAGGCGGGGAGACCTTTATTCCATCTTCAGGGAGCCGCCGCCGTCTCGCCTTCCTGAGTAGGACACAAACCCTAACACGATTGAAAAAAACGACTAAAAACGAAGCCCTCCCACCGGCCCTTGCCAGGATCCACCGCGCCTCCATGGCCCTAGGGCCACCGGAGACGAGGCGGACCTGCGCCGGCGCCGGCGAGAAGCACGAACTCTAACTTTCTTTCTTGGAGTGTTTGCAGAGTATTTGACTCAGTTAGAGCTATAGTTTAGCATCAAGAGGAAAGTTTTGTAAAATGAACATGGAAAATTGCTCAAATATATGAAAAGTTTAATTCTATTTTTATCTTTTAGGTTATTGAACCTTGTTGTCAGATGATGTATTTTGGAATTTGGAGATGCAAGACATCTCTTTCAAGTAATTTTCTCCCTTATTTTATCATTATAATACGCATTTTGATGGCTACGTTATGTGCTTACACGCTGCCTTCGATTATGCCCGATAGTTCTTGCTAGAATCTTGAAAAACACATTTATTCAATGCATCATTGCTCAAAATTTTTACTCCTTGTTGAGGTGGTGCATCGGGTAACATTTGCTCCAGCTCCGCCCCTGCTTACTTGGTTCGTGTTATAGATGCTTTGTTAATAAACGCGTCTGCCTTATTCAATATATTCTTTGCTATTTGTAAGTTGTCTTGTTTTGTTGTATATAAGTTGCATCCTTTTACTTGTATTAGTCACTTCACATCATGTGATGAAAGTGAAAACCACATATTTCCCCCCCAGAGAATCATGAAACCACAAATGGGCATATGCGATTTATCTAGAGATTATTTGTTTATGTGCCTAAAACCCATCTAACTTTCAACACTTCCATCCATACACTATGATGGGCTTCTTTCTTCATGAGCTTTCTCCTTTGACCTCTTATTTTCATCTTCTCTAAGCAATTTTTTCCTTGTTAACACCAGAATTTGGCACGGTCAATAACTTAATTAGGATGGCCTCGAATGGAGAAGTGATCTATATAAAAAAAATTCCGTATTGTCGACATGAACATCTTTGAAATTTGGGTCATCGCCATCCGATCTCATCTCGAAGGCGGAAGTTGTGTTCGAAATACTGAGATTTCGTATCCGGAGCACAGTTTGTCCGATTACGCCTGAAGGACGGCCTCAAATGAGAAAACTTTCTACATGGATTGTATTCGTCTCGTTGAAATGATCGGTTTTGATATAAAAATTGTCTCAATCTGAGGTCGTATGTAAAAGTTAGAGACGTTCAAGTGCAGCCCTACCACCAGACAAAGCCCAATCAAACATTGTGTCTGATAGGTAGGCCCACCAATTGCTTATATTGCGCGGGCGTTTGGCCCACAAGAAGATCTCGAATCAAAAAATGTTCAACAGAAAGTTGTTCGTCTCGTTGAAACGGTCAAATTTGCTTTTGGGATCATCTTCATCCGAGGTCGTTTGTGGCCCGTGAAACCTAAAAACCGAACTGTTGTCCCAGACTTACCTAAACCCGAGTTCGGTTAATTTTGGAAAGATTTGGACGTGATTTGGACTCCTTTTCATGTACGGGAAGTCCATCCGCCTCTTATATTGAGAAGGGGTGACAGCCGATCGAACAATACATAATCGAACAAACACATCTACTACTTTTTCGTGTTCATCTATCCCCTATCCTTGTGTCTTTCTTCTCGTTCTTCATCGTTCTTCAACAATGGAGGGTTGCAAATCCACGAGGCTCTAGGGGTGATCAGGTTGACCTAGGGCAGACCATAGCCGCCGCGCGCCCTGATGGGATCCCTCCCGGACGTGTGGGGTTTCGGGTCCTCAAAAGCGCCCGCCGGACTGCTTGCGTATCGCGCTTCCGGATGTGTATCCTTCGACGTGAGCTGCGGTGCATCACCCCCGGCGTCGAGGGTACACAATGACGTGTTCATGTGCGAACAAACTTTTTGGCGACTCCACTGGGGACGAAGTTTTGAGCGGTCTCCAGCTCGCTCTTGCTACGAAGAGATCGTCATCTAGGCTTTGCAATCTACGAAGATAATATGAATACCCAATTCCCTACTCTAGATGCAAATATCTCATATGGTGTTACTAGATCATTCAATGACTATACTCTATCGGTCAACCCTAGTTTGTCCAATCATGCATCTAATTATGTGCATAGGCCGATTCAAAGTAATTTACATGCTTGAAGTTCTTACGATACTAGTAACATGCACCATATGTACTCCAACTCTCATGCATCAGCAACCCCACAAATCCATATGTCGATGAACAACATGGTGAGTTTGGTTAATCAAATTGAAACACCCCATGTAGGAACTTCCAATAGCATGCAACAAAGTGTTTCACCTTTATTCATCGGCAACTAATTTGCAACATGTTAATCCAACCATACCGATGGATGAGAGAATTGGCCATGCTACTACTAGTCATATGCTACACCTCATGTTAGTAATTTTTCGGCACCGTATACAACTGTAGATGCTCGTAATTCGGCTCCGCACCTTCATGCTCATAGTCGAATAAGTGAAAATTTGGCAAGAGTGCACACACCATCATCTAATATTGTAGCATACAATGCATCCTCTACGCAATTGCATAATTTCGACAACAACTCATTGCCAGAAGAATCTAAAAGTATTGTGGAGCAATCCCTTACAGAATGAGAAGTGGCTATACTAAAAAGGGATATAGCCCAAAATAACAAGATTAGTGCTCTTTTCCTTGAAGAGCATGATAATGGTTTAGTTCCTGATTATAATGCAATAAAAGCTAGAGTTTTACAAGAAGATGAATCTTTGCCAATTGATAAAATTGGCAAGCAAAAATATGGTTTTACAACATTGCATACGCACCTACTACTACATCATATTATACACCCCCTACACAATTGCAAAGTTTTGGCAACACCCGTGTGTCATTGCCGAAAGAATCTAAAAGCATTGGGGAGCAATCATATCCGGAGTGGGCTGAAATTGAGAAAAAACTTAAAGCCAATTTTGCCGCTCGTCGAC